TTTTTTTTTATGCTTGTTATTTTAGTGCGTTGATATTTGTGCAACTGGAGGTCAGTTGCCCCTACTGAGTTATAATATGATTTCATAGTAAACTAATTTCTTCTGGAGAGGTGCTCCAGGATGTCAGTTGGGTAGGCTATGTTTGCTTTGGTTCTAGATGGATGCTTTAAAACAGAGTCTGTAGTAGTCAGTGGTGATGATAACCAAGTAGTGTCTCAATGGCCTAGGCTGAGGAGGTTTTAGGGCTGCACAGTCAGGGCAGATGCAGCTGTCTTGGATGGGGCATTTTAGCTGGTGACTTTGGGCACTGTACACTTGACTACAGGGCACCTGTTAGTTTCATGGGTTGAGGCATTCTGGAGGACCCACAGCAACAAGATGTGGCAGCTGGAGCAGCAGCAGAAGCCTTGCAGCACTTTGTTTCTGGTGCCTACCGGGGTGGCGCTGTCCCAGGTGAGCATGGTGCAGTGAGCTGGAAGCCCAGCGAGGTGCCTGTCAGCATTTCAGAGCCTTGCACAGGCCAGGCCACGCTATATGCCATTGTGGTTGCCCCTGAGTGCCCAAGGATCACACAGGTAACTTCACAGGACCTTTGAGGCCACCCTGCTCAGGATGAGCTGCCGGCTCATTTCCAGAGGATGAACATTCATGCGTGGGGCTGCCTATCTACATCTTGGGGACTTAATGAGCTAAGGCAATGTGGATTTATTGCTTGGCTTTTTCCTGAAGTTGTGGGTGGGCAGCCATGGATATTTCTCTCGGCCTCAGCCAGCCAGGTTTCTCAGGGCAGACATTCTTTCTATTTCTTAGAGCTGCAGGAGAATGGGAAAGTCTGCCCCTTTGTTTCCCAGGGCCTTTGTGGGCTTAGCAGCTCGACACAGGCTGCCAGGTACTTCCCACAGCCAAGAGTGGTAGGGCAAGACTGCCCATCTGATACCAGGAGCCTGTGTAGGCCAAGTTGCTTCCTGGCCAAGGGTGAGTGGGCTAGCCTTCTATCTGCTTCCAGGGCCAGGAGGTGTGTAGGTGGAGCAACCTATCTGCTTTTTCCAGACCTCAGTAGGATGAGCCACTCAGGGCAGGCTGCCTGAGTTCTTCCTGGGATTGTGGGAGGGTGGGAAAGGCCAACCAGCTAGTTTACAGACCTGAGTGAGCCAATCTGCTGGGGTCCAACATTTGGCTGCCTCACAGGCTCCTGGGTGGGCACGGTCTCAAGATAGTGCTGTGCAGGAGGAGGCTGAGTGGGTGAGGCCAAAATGTTGAATGTGGGCTGTCTCAAGGACAATGTAGTGGTGAGGTAACTCACACTCCAGACCTGCAAACTGGGCTCAACACCTGTGAGGGATGCCGGCTTCCCTAGCAGTAAATGCCTCTGGGATGTGTGGTCTTCCCTTCTGAGACCTCTTGCTCAGGCAAGTCCTCCAAGTGAAGTTCCTTTGGCTCAAGGATATTGGCTTGATATTTCAAGACAGAACAGAAGATGATATGTCTTCAGTTTCTTTCTTTACAAGGCCATCATGTGCTTTCATACTCTGTGACATTCTGCCACATCCCCTTTGTTCCCAGGGGCTCAGCATTAAACACTCCAGGGAAATTGCTGTTCTTTTATTCTTGTTTGGGTCCTTTATTCTGAAGGGAAGGATACTCCAAACACCTCCTCCACCATCTTGCTGATTTCACCTCTTCCATATGCTTTTTCGAAAAGGAAGTCTTCAGGAACTGATGGACCTGATTGTCAGGATATATCATGGCCAGCATGGCCCTGAGTAGGTACATCAATTAAAACAGAGGCTTGCAAGATAATCTACCATGGTACCAAAATTGTGCATTGTAAATATCAGCTCCTATGTAAATATATTTATGAAGGCAAACAATGATCACTGGCTATTGATGTGGTCATAGAAACAACTCCAATGTAGCTAGCTTTCAAATCTATAAACTTTCTAAAAAACAAACATTAAAACAAATGGAGCTTCATCACAGCAAGTCAGAGTAAGAGCCAGTTGTCCAAGCTACAAAGATGAGTTGTTGGCTAGGGAAAAAGGCAGGTGATAAGCTGAGTCCTGTTTTATTCCTGTTATATCCCTATACTAGAACTATACAGATAAGTTAGCTCTATATAGGTACTATTTGTGTTTTGTTTTCTAGATGAATAACACTAAGAAGGGAATGGTTTTTCCAAAGAGCTGAACAAATAAGAACTGGAGGACTGAATATTGGATTGTAGTGTTCAGCTATAGGGCAGAATGAGGAATGCTTTTAACAGTTTCTTAATCATATAAAATCGCAACAGCAACTTTGACCCAAACTAACCTTGAAAAGATTCCAAAAATATATTTAAGAAATAAACAAATACAATAATACTTTATTTTGTGATTCAATGATAATGGTTCAAATATTAGAGTATTGGAGAGTCAGATGAATAACAATGTAAGATAATAGAGTTCTCAAGGCAGGGGCTGGGAATTTAGCTCAGCGGCAAAAAGCACCTGCCTGGCATGCGCAAGGTTGTGAGTTCGGTTCCTGGTACCGGAGAAAAACCAAAATAAAAAAAAAAAAAAAAAAAAAAGAGTTCTCAAGGCATAGTCAGCAATTGTATCTTTTTGTGATATTCCATTCATGAAACATTTTTAATTAAGAATAAGTCATTTATGGTGTACTTAACTTTCAATTGTCTACCTTGTATGCTTCAATTTGTATATTACTGTAATGAAACAAAGCTATTCTTTTTTTCCCGAATCACATTTACACATGCCTTCCTTGCTTTGAACTCATAAATGCACGAATTTCTATGAGTTCTCTACTTCATTAATCTCAGTCTTCTGATACTTCTTTATCAAATGATCATAATTATGTTCATTGTATACAGTTTGATTATGTTGACCTTACTTGTATTTCATAATAAATTTTCAATGTCTTAAGCCTAATACAGTTATTTTTCCATGATTATTTTAACAGATGTTTCAAAGAAGATATTGGTAGCATTTCAGTCTTCAGTCATGTTCTTCTATCAAATATATAATGCTTGTATTTGGAAATATTTTCCAGAACTTTTTAATAATGTATACAAGTAAAATAGACGTATTTTCAGAAAATTTTTCAGCTTTTTGGATGCTATTATGTTTTATGAGGTCAAATAATTGACTGCTGCTAGAACATTGTTTACATCACTGGAATGATCTATATATACTGTGACACTGAGGTACATTTTATTATAGCTAGAGCGATGATAAATTCTCATGAAGAAAATGCTTATCCTAACAAGCAGCATATGAAAACAGTTTAAAATTTACTTTCTTAAACTTACAGGTTTAGCAATAACAGGAAGAAAAGGAATTTTTCTCACAACACCGAGAAATTTAATGGACAATGAATTATATTTGTACCTTGTATGTATTCTAAAAATTCAATTTCAAAGTTCATTTAAATGAAGGGTCAACACTAATTCGATTCAAAAATAATAAATCACTAGATGACATGATATTAAAAAGCTTAATGTGCACTATTAGTTCTCTTCACTGATCTACAATGCTATTGATATTTAAAGTAATTATAAAACAGTGTGCATAGATAGCAAGATCCAATTAATAGATCGAAGAGCACTAATTTCATCTTTTATTTGACTGACAAAAATAGACTGCAGTGCTTCCAATTACTTTTTTTTTCATTTTCATTAAGAACTATATTTTATGAATATTTCTCCCTGTAGTCTTTAAGAGGAAAAGTACAATCTTCATTAGATTCTTAATTTTAAATTAATCCTGTTCATTTTTGTTCATCCTAAAATTATTGTGAAAAACTCAAATACTACTTTCATTTTCTCATGGAACAAGACTAAATGCGTCATTACATGTGCTTACTTTCCTTCTTTCTCCTCCAGTACCTCAGTGACTTCCCAGTGCCTTTGGGACAGAAATTGAATAACTTATCTTAAAGTTCTTCATTTGCTGTTTCCTACTTTTCTGACTTGACCTACTACTATGTCCTAGTCTCACCAGTTTTCTACAGCCAAATCCAAATTTGTCTTCTACATATGTTAGCATCAGTATTTCTTCTGTGCCCCCAGTTGTCCAAGTCTGGGATGATTCCCTGCTTTTTCAAGCCAAGGGAAACACATTCACACCAAATCCCTTAATAAACGTTCCCTAACTATGCCTAACCCTAACCCTCTGTGGACTGTTTGGAACTCCTTTTCTTTTTATATCTGCTGCTTAAGTTACAATGTAGTCTTCTATAGGACAGGAGTTGAGTTTTGTGCTATTTTGATATTAACAGGTGTCAACACATGTCCCACAGGTGCTAAGAAGCGGGTGCTGCTAATGCACAGCATTTGGAAATACAGTGTAAAATACCTGTCCTAAAATACATGAGTTTGTCAGATGAACATTTTTCTGTTTACTCACAGAATGAATTAAGACTTTTCATACTTTAGTATTACTGCCTATTATACCATAAGTTGACTTTTAGACTAATATTTTCAAACTAACTCAAGTACTTTATAGCCATAGCATTCACCATAATACTTAGCCAATTATTAATTTTGTGTAATCCTGGGATATTTAAGTTAGTTAGTTTTGAGAATTATGTATATCAAGTTCCTAATTTGATGAAATACTATGACCAGTTAAACAGTGAAAGACTGATGGCTAGAATGTGGCTTTCTGTGGTAGACGAATTCCAGCATCAAGGATAGGAAGTCAGTAAAATACTAAAAACAAGTTACAAAGCTTTGATAAGATGAAAGTATGAAGTTGATCATAAATGAAAAATAATGGTGTTTGATTCAGCAGCATTCATCATCATAATCTCAGATAGGGAAATGATTCTATAAGTCCTATAAAATTGTACAGGCTAACTGAATGGTGAGCGCACCTGTGTATATAGAAACATTTTAGATAATTTGAAAACAAAATACATAAGAAAGTACAAATCCAAAATGTAAATGTGAGTTGACACTGCCTTTATTTGATATTTCAAAGTTATTTGCTTTTCTTTTTAATTAGATACCTAATCAGACCTGACCCACTGTCCTACCTTCCAAATAGTGAACCTAGCCGAAAAAACAGCATCTGCAACGCCACTGGTCAGGACTCTCGGGAGGAAACCCAACTTTGATATCAAGAAAATAAGAGACTTTTTTTTATTCCTATGGGGATCTTGCTTGAAAAACCTAATGTGTTTCTGCCATTGGAAGAAAGTAGATTAGAATATATTCAATTCTGTCATATTTAAAAAGCAAAACTATTCTCTTAGAGGTATAGATCATTTTAAAACTTAATGTACCATTTACTGGTACTTCCCTTGTTAATATTGAAAAGACATCACGGAATTATTCTGAAAACCTAAATTACAAAAACAAAAATTGAAATCTGATATTTGATGTTTGAGTATGGTCTTAACTGTACAAAACCAGAATTAGTAAGGCTTTATGAAAGTAAAAAAATCTAACTATATTTGGTACATCACAATACACATAGAATATTGCTGTTCTTATTAACACTTAAATGTGTCATGTTATATCCTTTAAACTTGCTATTTTATAAAACTGAGCTTATCATAAATGCCTAGTCTTCCCTACATAGGGATTAACCAACAAATTTATATGGCTGAATTTTGTGTAAAAAATATAGTTTGCTTTATAGTACGAATCTTTAAGTTATTTTAAACTTTTTCTGTCTGCCTTTTCATTTGATACCATATTCATTTTAGAATTTCAGAAGTTCATAGCATGTTTAATAAACAAAAAAATATATTCAGTACCTGAACTTTTTGATAACTTAATACTTAACACACTTTATGCCACAAAAGTGTACTAAAAGTCAAATATCTATTGTTCTCCTAAAGAAAATTCCTAGCATGGAGAAAATACTTAATGCAACTTGTTAATTTTAATATAAGAATTGAAACTTTAACTGGATTTCTGAAATAATTTTCATTTGACTCTTGAGTTTTAACATTTTTCATATCTCTCTATAGCAAATTTAATTAGAAAAACAATTTAATATTAAAAGGAGACTATTTATACTTTTTATGGACTACAAAGACACTTTAAAACTTTAAATATCTTACTTATGTCTTTGCTATTAAAATAATTACACTCAAGTACAATCTATCAAAAATTCTGATTTAATTTTGAAAAGTCTTCTACACCGTCCTATAGGTTCTATAGGATCTATATTCTAACATTGTGAGGAAAAGTATTAAAAATAGGTAATCATTAGCCTTTAAATTTAACATGAGTCATTCCAAAATTGACAAATATAGATTTAAATATAAACTGAGTCTTGGGGAAATTAAAATTTTGTCTGAATTATGTATTTTGCTTCCCTTATAGAAATAGACTAAAAAGCACAAGAGAATGCACACATGGTTTCTATACAGTAGAAGTGTCATCAGTGTTCCCATGGAATAATATTGGTAAATTTAAATGACATTTTCTTCTAACTTTGTATTTTTTTAATTCCTGAGTTTTTGTTTACTTTCACTTCAACAAAAGTAGGACGTATTAAAAAGGACATTTTTGCCCTTTCTTTTCATAGTGAAGCAGAACATTTGAATGGAAATATAATTTTTAAAATGGTAAAGAAAATTTAATGTTCTCCCAATTATTGTACAGAAAAAATGTAAAATGTAGAATATGAAGTTAAACGTAACCATTGCATAATTTGACCCCACAAATATGAAATGTCATTGTTTTCCAGCATTTTGCTTTGCCCACATTTTGGCAAAACAACACCGAGGACTTCATCTAAAATAGATTAAGGCTCCATTTGGTGTTATTTGGTCTTCTCTGATCTGTCAGAGACGTGAAAATGACAAAAGGTTATTTAAAATTGGGAGCACGCCTTAGAACTTAAAGGTTGTATGCATATGCGTATATGTTTGAAATGTGAAATGCATTTGACAAGCATTCCTATCATATATTGGCAAAATTGAAGGTGGAACAAGATGTGTGTAATAGAGAAAAATATTGAATTTACTGAACTTGTTTCATATTTGAACAGCAATAGTAAAGTATGAAGCTTCTTTGAGTTTTTTTTTTAACATCATTACAGTCATTTGTAGGAGTTAATGTAAAATTTTACAAATCTGTTTCCCCTCAAGATCTGAAATTTAGTATTTTTTGCATTATGACGGTAAGACTAGAATTTTAAGCTAGAATACGATTATATTTCCTATAGAACTACAATTTTTCTTTCATAAATTTTAAAATAATTATTTTTGATTATGAACATAATAGTCCAAATTTAATATTTGATGGAATTCATATCAGCTTGCTCTAATAATGATAGTTTGTTAGTCTTTCTGGTTCTTTAAAAAATAAAACATGCTTATAAAAGACTTTTAACAAACTATTGCCTTTTTAAAATAATTATACTTGCACATGAAGTATAAAGTTAATAATTGTTCTTGTAGCCCTACAGGAATTGGTTCTGTTTATTGCTGTGTAACATTTTGCTACCAGTTACATTGAATTGCTTTGAAATAAATAATAATAAAATTATTTCTGATGATGAAAACTCTTTGTGTTTGTTGCCAGCACTTTGTTAAAGAGACTATGTTTTGAAATTGTAAAATTGTTTTGTTACTTTTATACTTTAAAGCCAAAGTAAACACAAAAGTGGTTTCATTGGAAAAGAAAGCCATAAATAAAATACTATTGAATTACTTTCTAATAAAGTAGATTCTGAATAGTTATTTTACCATGATAAGAAAGGAGAGGTATAGATATAAGAGGAAATAAACAGTGGGAAGCATGAAAGAAAGTGAAGTGGAATAAAACCATAAAGTAGAAGTTAAAAAGGAAATATGCTTTACAAGGCAGCGAGCAATGACTCAATATGCTACTTTAAGGTTGAGGAAAACACTGGCTTAAGGGGAATGAAAGTTTAAAATACAAAAGTTGTCTCTGGTTCTAAGTAAATGAGAAGATATATTTCTCCCTACCTTTATTCTTACGGTATCCCTAAAGTCCATCATTAACTTGGGGCATTCCATATTTTCTAATGAAATTAGGTACTTTAGCATAAGAGTAGTCTGTGGTACATTTTAGTAGCTACACCTGATGGATACAGAAAGCAATCTTTGTGTTCACCCAATTGTTGTAAGGAACAGCAAGGTGTATACCAGTGGGTCTGTGAAGAAGTATCAAATCAAGATTTTTACCCACATAATGCTCTGTGTATTGTGTACATATCTCTGACCATCATAGGGGGTGAAATAAACCCATACCATTCTTATGTTCTGTGAACATCTAATTAGTCATAATGGAACCTGGGCATGGCCTACAGTAGCTGTGGCTGGGGGAAACAAAAACCCACATGTGCATTCACCTACTTGGCAGATGAATGGCAAGGTGTGTGCAGGAGCTCCAAAGCAGCAACAGAGGCATTTTACCCATGAAATGATCATTGTTGAATTTTTGCATTTAGGATTTGTGTTTTTAAAAAGTTTTCTTTTGATTTTCTTGTAGAAGTAGCCCACTTCAGTAAAATTGCATATGAAAAATCTGGTCTCTGTAGCATTAGCAGTATATGTCAAAAAAGCCTTCAAACTACAGTATAAAAAAATATTCCCTGCTAGATGCAAAGACATATACTTTCAATTTAGAAGTTCATCCTGGAACTCAGCCATCAGGTCCTTATTCATATAGCAATAAACCAATGGATGTTGTAAACAGACTTGTTGCTCCCATCACCCAAACTAATCAGAACGTGACATTCCACAGTTGGTTTACCAGTTGCCTATTGTTACATTTGCTAACAGAGTAGTGTAGAAACTGTACACAAGAACAAACAGTATAACAAACACCATTAATTCCTATCATTTTGTTCTGAAACCCTGTATGATGCTTAGTGTTTTTGCTTTGTTTTGTTTTTGTCCATGTTGTTAGTATTTTGCTATACTTTTTAAAAATTCTCTTTAAAATAAAAAAAGGAATTCCCAAGAAAATGTTGCAATTTCAAAACAGAGAATTGTATGTTACAATCTTTGAATTTCAGAAAGATATAACATTGGGCTTATATATGGCAAGGAAAAACAAACTGGTACTGCTGATCTTTATACTGCACCATGGTGGAAAAACTGCCAGAGAAACCTCGACAAAATGGGAGCTTGACATGAACTTTCAATGAGAAAGTCAAAGGTGGAGTAGATGTTTCTGATGAGTTTTGCAGCAACTATAATGTCACTCAGCACACAAAGCTTTGGCTAGTGGTCATTTTACTTGATTCTAAACATGTGTGGCACAAATAGTTTGATAGTTTACAAAGAAAATAATAAGTGAAAAATATGGAGAAATTTTCTTAGAGGATTAGGACTGGAATGGATAAGAGATCACTTACAACAGAGGAAGAGCAAAATATTTCTGCCCCGGTAACTATGCAGAAAAATTATCCAACGCACTGATGAGCTCACAGGTGAAAGGGTAGGTACAACATCACAAAGATCTACTCCAACAATAGGAAAACCAATAAGATGTTAGCTGTGCCCTACAAGAAAAGTCAGAAAAACAAAACATGACCTATCAGCGTGAGTGATACTTGTGCATAGAGTGTAGAGTTGTCATGCATGAAGACTGCTTTGGGTGTGACAATTGAAGCAAAAATTATTTCTGCAGTAGATTTCTATTTGTATTTACATTGTAGTTCACAAAGGTATTCATTTCTGATGCTGTCATACAGGTTTTGTAAGCAAGTACACAGCTGATATGAAAATGTTCATGTCTATTCTAAGTGTTCATTACATATTTGATACTTTATTGATATCTTATTTTCCTATAGGAGAACATTTTATAATATAGTAGAAGCTCCTGACAAAATAGCAAGGCTAGTGAGATGTCAAGTATGTCCTAAAAAAGGCCAAGAAAGCAAAACATATGTGCCATTAGTATAAGCTCTATGTGTATATGGAATGTATTATCATTTGTGAAGACTGCCTTAGGTGTGGTAATAGAAGTAGAGATTATTTTTGTTGTAGAGTTCTATTGGTATTTTCAGTGTAGTGCATATAGGAATTTATTTCTATTGTTATTTTTTACAGTTCATGTACCTAAAACCATTGAATGTTGACATTTTTATGCTTTTTTAATAAAGACTCAATATTAAAAATTCAATACTTTATTTTGAATTTTTCCTGGTTAGTACTCCTTGTTTAATATAATGAAACTCTGAAAATTAAAATTAATAATTCATCAGTAGAAATACTTCTCAAGAATAGATGTGCATTTTATACACCTTTCATTATACTTCTTTAACACAAAGTTGCCATGGTGTCCATTCTATAATATTAAAACAGACATAGAATATTTAACAGCGGGATGAAGAAGAAAGGCCTAGCAAGGAAGCTGGACTTGATAAAGCATAAGAGTTTGCTGGGCTTTGTTTTTCCTGTCTTGAATTGGATATTGGGAAACACCAGTGGATATAGACAAAGAAGTCTCAGAGTAGCCTGCTCTCCTAGCAAAGGACTGGCTCCTGTAGCATGTGCAGATTTTGGAGAACCAAATTTCTGATGCTTCTGAGCCAAGAATAACTGCTCAGTGTGCCTGAAGTTTCCCTGAGCATGTGTTGGGTAGCTTTGTAGTAGAGTCTCTCTGAGAGACACTTCCTCAGAGCTCTCTGGGGTATAATTTCCTGCAAGTTCTGGAAGTGCAGCCTCACAGTGATTCCTTGACCATCCTATGAACCACAGCTATGGCATCCCCAGTGGAATGTAGATTTCAGTCCTAGGCTATCTTACTGAAGCATTTTTTCTTCTCCCTGAAGATAATGAATGTTCCTTACATATAATTTTCTAGTTATCTTTACATATTACTAACCAATCTTGCATAACAACAATGCTCTGTTACAGTTAATAATTGTTCATGTGAAACATTCTCTGCACAAGTCACTGTGATTTATCTTTTCAAACTGGATATTGGCTGATATAATGCACAAATCAGCAGTTCT